ATATCCATTGTAATTCATGAAACCTCCAACACATGTTGAGCCATGCAGAGCCAGACACAAATCACTGCTGTCCCCCCCAGCCCCTCCTTTAGGTGTGATTACAGCCAGAGACACATGAGTGAGGGAGGGAAGAACCATGTTGCCGAGCTGTGTGGGTTTTGCAGGGCTCTGGGTGATTTAGGAACAGGTCAGGCCACATAAAGCCAAGTGCCACACAAAGCTCCCAGTCAATATAATCAATATTACCAATTTATCAATCCCACCAGAGGACAACGCAGCTGGAGGAAAACGCAGATGGTTATAACCACATGTCACTGTCTCATTTCTGTATGAGCTACATATGCTCCATATGCAGCACTCATTACTGTGCCCCACATTGGGACTGCGTTGTCTGAGCTGTGAATGCAGAGTGGGCACTGCAGGAGGAGCAGTGTGGGGAGTGGGCAGTGCATGGCCCCTGCCCTGCATTCTCGGGTCCTAGAGGCCCCCTGCACTGAGACATGTCTGTGGCGGGGTGACAGGCAGCTGGGGACCCTCAGGGACAGCCAACACACCTCACCCAAGCCTGGGCACTCCTGGCTGGCCCAGGTCCTGGGGGCAGCGCAAGGGAAGAGTGTCTGGAAAGCTGCCAGGCAGAAAAGGACCTGGAGGTGCTGGTTGACAGTCAGCTGAACATGAGCCAGCAGTGTGCCCAGGTGGCCATTGGCACTGGTAAGGCCGCACCTCTAATACTGTGTTCAGTTTTGGGCCCCTCATTACAAGAAGGACATTGAGGCACTGGAGCGTGTCCAGAGAAGAGCAATGAAGCTGGTGAAGGGTCTGGAGAACAAGAATTATGAGGAGTGGCTGAGCGAGCTGGGGTGGTTTAGTTTGGAGAAAAGGAAACTGAGGGGAGACTTTATCACTCTCTACAACTACCTGAGTAGTAGGTTGTAGAGAGGTGGGTGTTAGACTCTTCTCCCATGTAAATAGTAATAGGACAAGAGGAAATGGCCTCAAATTGTGCCAGATTGGATATTAGGAAAAAATTCTTTACTGAAAGAGTGGTCAAACACTGGAACAGGCTGGGGCGGAGGGGGGGGGGGGCCCCCTCCAGAAGTGCGTGGATGTAGCACTTCAGGACATGGTTTGGTGGGCATGGTGGTGTTAGGTTGATGATCTTAGAGGTCTCTTCCAACCTTAATGATTCTGTGATTCTGTCTCTCCTCACTGGGTGGCCCCTATGAGGGCACCAGTGACAGGTCCAAGCTCCCCTGTGTGCAGGCCATGTCCCCCCAGTGCAGACTTTGCACCCCTGTGACAGATCTGAGCCCCTGGTACAGGCTGTGCCCCCTGGTGACAGGACCAAATCCCCACCTCCAGTGCAGGCTGTGCTCCCCAGTGACAGGACCAGGTCCCTAACTGGTACAGGCCATGTTCCCCCATGATGGGATCAGGTCCCCCAGGTACATGCCATGTCCTCTTGTGACAGGACCAAGGGTTCCCTTCCCCCCCAGTGCAGGCCATATACACCTGGTGTGGGCTGTGCCTCGCCATGACAGAATCAGGTCCCCCCGATGCACGCCATGTCCTCTGTGACAGGCTCATGTCTCTCCATCTCCCAAGGACTTGGTCCTTGAAGCTGTAACTAAAGGACTTCTAATCAATGTCTTTGCATGCCTTACTAATGACTATGCCCTTGAAGCAAAGCTAAAAGACTGATAAAATGAGAACATCCTGCCCAAAGAAGTGCCAGAGACTGATTGATTACCTAATGAGGATGAAGTCAGCAAAAGTTATGGTAACTGGGGGAAAGGTAAATGTGGCAGGGGGAGATTGCAACCATTGACTCAATTCAAGACAGAAAAGACTTGCCCACCCACATTTGTAAGGAGCATGCATGCTAATTTACATGGAAAGTGAGGCTAATTTAAGTATAACTAACCTATTACAGAAAAGAGGGTTATCACTAACCAATTAATGTAAGTTTAGGAGGAGTTTTGTGAATCATGTATTAAGATAAATATGTTGTAATTTCTGTGTATGGTGTGCTTGATTTGTGGGAAACCACTGAGCACCCAGCCTTGTGCAACTCCAAAATAAAATAAATGTCTCCACTTGGTGTGTGAGATTGGCTAATTGCATGCTGGGTGACGAATCTGACTTTTTTGGACAACAACAGGACCAGGTTGTCACCCCCCTGTAACAGGCCCAAGCCCCGAGGTCCAGGCTGTGCCTCCCCCCCCATATGACATGCCCAGTTTCTACCTCGTGACAGATCCAAACCTCTGGGACAGACCATGCCACCCCATATCAGACCTTAGCCCCACCTCACTCCAGCTCAGACCCCGCCCCCACCTAAGCGCAACCCTTCCAGTGGCGATGGCGTGCGCAGGCAGTGTGTGACGTCGGACGGCCTCGGAGGGGTGGGGGAGGAGGAGGTGCGTGGGGCAGAGCTGAGCCGCACCGTCGGGTTATGTCTCTGATCCCGTGTCCTGGGCCCTGCCACCATGACGCCTGCCATCTTCTTCTGGTGCACCTTCATTGCCTTCAAGCTGGCACTTGGCCTCTTCCTCTTCACCATTGCCTACGACTTGCTCCACATCATCATCCTTGTCTCTGGGTCAGTCCTGCACCAGCACTGGTGCCACTGTGGGTACTGGTGTGGGCATGGAGGGGGCACTGGTACTGGTATTGGTACTGGTATGGCACCAGTATTGGTGCTGGTACCAGCATGGACGTGACAGGAATGTGACTGGTACTGGCAGAGGTGCAACAGGGTGACTAGTGCTAGTGCCATTGTGGGTATGACAGGGACACCAGTACCAGTGCTGGCATGGGGTCAGTAGAGCACTGGAACCAATATAGGGTCAGTAGTGGTACTGAGATGCACACAGCAGGGGCGGTGGTACCGGTATCACCATGGGATCAGTAGAGGTCAGTATTGGTACTGATATCAATATGAGCCTGGCACTGGTATTGGTACTGGTGTGGGCTTGGCAGGGGCACTGGTGCCAGTTCTGGTTACCAGCAGAGGAGGAGTGCAGGCACAGTAGTGGTACCAGTACAGGCACCATCCGCCTAGCACTGGTTCCAGAACAGTGCTGGTACTGGTAGGAAAGTGGACATAACTGGGACACTGCTGCCAGTGATAGTACCAACACAGAGGGGTGTGGGCATAGTGCTGATGAGCACGGGCATGGCACTGGTACCAGTCCTGGCATGGCACCAGTGCCAGCAGGCGCTCTCTCTCTTGCAGGGCTTTCTTCTGGCTGATGTCACTGCTGTTCTCCTCCCTCATTTGGTTTATCGCCATTAAAGCCAGTGACCCCCAGGATGAGTTGTTGCAGAAGGGGCTTTTGATATTTGGGATGATGTTCTCTGTGCTGCTGCAGGAGGCCTTCCGCTTCCTCTACTACAGGCTCCTCAAGTAAGGGCATGTCCCACACTGCTCCAGCGCTGCTGGGTGGTCCTCCTGCCCTTCCAACTATGGCGGATCCAGATTTTGGCTGGGAGATCCTGCGTGGAGGGGGATGCAGAGTGTGGCACCAAGCCACCTTGGTCCTCGCTGGGAGCACATGGTTGGTACTTGTGTCGGTATGTTGACCTCGAGCGGGTCTTGGATGGCAGAACA